AACATGAGTACAGCTGGATGTTATGAAATTTACGAGCGCATTGAAGATGTTAGTAACGGATTTCTTTTAATTCACTGTTTGCTTATTGTAAATGAGTAAATGCATTATGGGTAAGTGAGAAAATGTATTATATTCCCTCTTCAATTCGTTTTTTTTCCTCTCTAGATAATGTGACGATATTTTCTCGACAGCTTGCTTCTAATTATCAATGTAATGTGGATTCATCAAAATTGCTCATCAATTCTTAATTCAGATCAGCAATTTCCTCAGCCTTGTTGAAAATTGATAATGGCGCACTTCGTTGAGAAAGTGTTTGTCAAGGGATGTGCTATTCATAGGTGTTTCACCACAGGTGTTTCTCATCGAAATTTGTCCAACTTCATGAACGCTTTTGATTAATCACAGTACCATTTGTGTATGGGTCATCAATGCTTCTAACTGATTTACCACCACTTGTATGTCGTTGTAGCGCGGCTTGTTTCCTTGACTGGCTGAGCTGCAGTTGTTCGATTGACTGCTTGAATTAAGCTCATATATTTGCTAATTAATTTAGCACGTTCATCAGTCGTTCAATATTTTCACTCAGTCAAAATTCACAATTTGATTAAATCAAAAAACGTTTATGATTACATAACATCAACTTTTAGAACGTCGAGAATATAGATTTTTGGTGAAGGAATGATATTAGGAATAATCAATAGATGAACTGTGAAAAGAAAAACAATTACATTTTATACACAAGAAAGTAGTATAGATTCAGCATGAAACTTATAAATTACAAGTGGAATGGAACAATGCATATCGAATTTACGTTTTTGAAAAGTTACTTCGATGCACTGACATTTAATAATTTACACATGTAAAAAATGAAGTAATAGAAAATGAATTGAACATTTACTGCGATCACTCAGATGAACTCAACGCGAATTTTTCTTTTCCCTCCATATCGTAACAATCAGCTGAAATGCATAGCAACGCAGCTCCGATTAAATTCACAATTTCGTGGAATTAAATCGATGATGACCGCTCAAAAGTACGTTACTGTCAAAGAGTCGATTTTAATTCAGGTGTACTCAAATCAAACGTTAATATTGGGCGACGCGGTCGTTCCAGCAGCAAATCTGAAATCTAAATAGCATGAGGATGGCAGATGAGGTGAAAATTCGGAAAAATCAATTCAAAGCTTTTTTTTATAATGCTTCATAAATTCGTTCTCCGAATACTCTAACCAGTTTGAACTGGTTAGAGTATTCGGAGAACGAATTTATGAAGCATTATAAAAATTCAAAGCATTCTTTCGGAACAATTTGGATAAAATTGCAAATTACTGGCATCCATGAAAATTACCAAACTTTTTTTTGTAAAAAATATGGCATATCAGAACAAAATTCAATCTAATACGGCAAATATCAGGACCATAAAGCAAAAAATGTATCTCGTAAGTATCAACAAAAACGGATAATTAAATGATTATTTGATCGCAAAAGAATATGAAAGAATTCGTTCAGGAAGATAACATCAAACGAATAGAAAATTCACATAGAACTGCGACCTTCTAAAACAGTTGACCAAGTGAGTGTAATGTAAGTTAAGTACGCATTCAGGGGAGTGCACTCTGCTCTTCGTTTCTCTCGTAACCAATGCCAAGCTTGACCGAAACCACGCACCGACCACAAACGACTCAGCATGTTCTCATCTAACTCTAAAAACCGATATTAGATTACGAACTAATCCCTGTTATTGCTTCTGTCGTCGCTCACTTATTAGCATGTGATATTTCTCGGCTAGCCAACTTGCCATGCAAACCTTAGAATACACATATACTCTTGATGGACATGTTCATAAATGAATGCGATAATCAATTAATCACAAATACATCACGACCCAAATGTCAATACCTTCGTCGATAGCATTTGCTTCCACTTCAGGGTACTGGTTAACTCTGTCTGCTTCACTCTGCCAACGCCGCGCTTGGCTCGGCTGACAGCCTGATGGACCTGGGGTCATCGCTGAACGATTATAAACAGGTCGATGACTCAGATTTGTGTCCGACATACGCCGTCGATTGTATTGATCCAACTATAAGAACTAATTATTGCTGAACTCATCAACAGCATCAACGCAAAAATAAAGATATTTCGAAGAAACAAATAAACAACCGTGCTCGTATCGTCGAAATCAAATGGTTGATCGCTCATTGGTGTCTCAAATCCAGAGTTTATCACTCGTGCAACTGCCATTTCAGCATAACCTGAAATCATTCTAAAAATTAATAATTTCACATTCACGCCATGTTCACAAACGGTGCTAAGCTATTTATTTGGCAAAATCAACATCTGGCCTCATGAGCATTCAAGAGTATTAGTGTCAAGCATTTACAAGTTTATGAGTTCCTGGACCCTACTTTCGAGGTTTTTCGAGATCTTTTACTTTGTAGTCCATCACTAGAACATTTATAAACTATACCTTGCTATTTTTCATGGTTTTGCTCGAAGTCAGGCTTTCATCAATGAATCTATCAAGAACAAACAATGCACTTATTTCAGCACCACCACCGATGATTTGACAGCTTAATTTAGCAGTTTCGATTCACAAAGAGTAGTTTACGCGCAAAGATGAAAGATAATGATTGAATTAACCTACTGATGCAAGAATATAGATGTAATTATTTCCACGGTATAAGAGAACTCCAAAAGACACATCGAGTTGCTTGATAAATTAACTGACCAAAGCAAAGTCTTGATACAAAAGAAACGGTGAAATTTAACGTATGAATATTATCTTCTATCTTCGAGCAGAAACACCTCTTTGTGAATCCGAATGTAGCTCCCTGAGAGAGACTGTTGAAGCAAGCTACCACTCATCAGTAGTGAAAATGAAATAACTGCATTGTTTGTTCTTGACAAGTGCACTGATTAAAGTCAACAAAGATAGCAATGTTCAGTGTAGAAATATTGTAATTAAACATTACGAAGTAATCAGCTTCGAGAACCTCTAAAATTAGAGTCGACAACTCATAATACCATCGAGTGCCCTCAGAAGCCTACTATGCAACTCCAGCCGCTCCACAACCTCCATATTCAATAGGTGAAATGTTCATAGGCCTAATGTCCATTAGGCCAAATGTCCATAGTCTGAATGTCCATTGAGCTAATTCTTTACAGTCCAAATGTTCGATCAGGCCCATAAACATTTCCACTGTTTCGACGCAACATTCAAAAATAATGGAAAAGCCAATTTACCCTTCCCATGTGGTCCTCGCATACGCACAAATTCTTGTCGACGTTGTGAACTGCTAATTAATTTCTGAGCCCAATTCCAAGTAGTTGACGCCTACAATTTACCATGACTTTTTGATTACAAAGCAATTAATCCTAGAAAATACGCACCAAAATAGGTGATTCGCAATAGAGATAACTAAATGTTTTATTTATATGAGAGATGGAATAACATACAAAAAATACACCGATATATCACCCACCCGTGTGTCATAAACTTGTTTCAGTACTTCGTATCGAATTGAACCGAGGAAAATAACCGCTTCTCGACACTTATAACGATCACGCGCAACCAATTCGACACACACACATTCACCATCTCGCACAATCACGTCACTGAATATCTAAAAAAAACTTCGTTGTTAATTTCGAGCACTTTATGGAGTGTTGAGAGGAGTGATATTCCTCCTTAATTATTGCGGTTTCTGCTGCACTCATTGAAGAACAATTCCTGCACAGTGACGCCTTACTAACTCTTCATCACAAACTATCTGAAACTAAATTAATGTCTGATAGTAATTGATGCTCACCTGTTCGAAGTCATCAATAGCGAAATATATTTTTGGATAAGTTATTTCCTCACATTCACCTTTGCTATCCATACGACGTCTACTTGGTGATGGATATACACGCTAAAATATGAATGTTATATTCAAGTAATACAAGAAATATTCAAATAAATGATGTAATAAAATAATATATCGACATGTAAACGCTCTCCGAAAGAAAGCCCAATGAACTGAAAAAGAAGGCAAAGCTGCACAATATATTCTACTATTTTGGAAGCTAAGCATATTCATATTTTTAGATGGATGATGCCTTAGCCGTCATCGCCTCCGACCAACCAGAGGGTATGCTAATATAGTCTTATTGATTCGACTTGATCAAATTCCATTGGCAATGTTAGTACCAATTTTCGACCTGTGAAGAGTTTAGTGGTCACGAGCGGCACAATTTATAAAAATGCAATTTATTTATACAGAAGATATCGCATTATTAGCTAAAGAATATCACATAATGTCAGCGAAGCGCTGAAATTCACTGATAGACGTGTTGAGACAAAAATCACATAATAAATCACCCAATGAGTATTTTTATGTCTGTTTCGATGTGTGAATATCAACATGAACCGATCAAACCTTCAAGTTAATTTATTTCGAAATATGGGTAACCCAAACAACTTATCCGTTTGTAACACAATACATTAAAGGACAACTGGTCGAACCNCAAAAACTAATAGGTAAAATTCATACCAACCTGACAATTCTTACGGAGAATTTGTAGATTCTGTGGGCTCGTTTTTGTGCAAACAGCGCAAGTTACATGAAAGTCAAGCTGAAATCAGATTCTTTTTACGTATCAATTAAATCAGCTCACAAATTCTCGTTATTTATGAGACTAATCCGCAACTAGCAAAAAAAGCCATTTTTAATTGAAATTTACTCACAAACTTTAGAAAACTAAAATGTATCATCAGTAAGACATAAAAATAAGGGAACCTGCTGGAGAATGAGATTCAAACAAACAGTTTCTTCCCAGTTTATGGAAACATCACTAGGAGCTGGCTGTTTCGGGCTCTGACGTCTGTAAACTTGAAGCTGACTGCTCTAAAAATATCTCAAAATTAATAAGATACCTATGACACATACCTACTTTAATAAGCATTCTTTTGCATTCAACTCCACTCTCATTCGATCAAACAAGAATACCACATATCTAAATTAATAACCAAGAACTATTCCAGTTGACTTTCAACGAACTCGCACATAAACATCACGTGAACACTACCCATGTACTATAATCATTTCTTATCAAAATTATTGGTACAAAAATATTCATGTAACTGCTCATACGACTGCTGATCACTTAGGAGGATGATCAACATAATTACTACGTCTTAGCTATTCAACAATCAATTATATAGAGAATAATTCCAATAGTGATAAAATAATTAATGTGTTTTTATAATGCTACATAAAAAATCAATGTTGGACATTAACGCGTTGTTCGTCAGTCCTTCTTACTGGAGCCAACTGTTTCGTTAACGCAGTAACTCGCTATTCATTTCTTTTGATGGTACAGATTGATGGGTGCTTCGTTAAAGTTATTTCTAAAGCTGCGTTGATCTTCATCTAGGGGATAGTGCTAATTACGGGTTAAAGAAAAACTGTCCAAAACTCAGCGCTGTTCAAAGGGTAAATGGAAAAGTGTGGACAGAAATTAACTCAACTAGAAAATTTTCGCCTCACTAGAAAGGTATCAACACATTTTTCATGCAACTATAAATTTTCATGTATTCGAGCTTAGACACTGGGATATTCAAGCTGTCTTAAGTAAGGCCAAAGTTGAACTGAATTTCGACTGATCAGTACAGAAAGTGGAAAAGTGTTGACACATCTGTAGCACTGATATTTCAGGAACTTTTGTAGATGAACTAAACTGACCTTATGACATGAAAAATTCCTCAACGTTATGAAGAAATTGTAATTGATTCATTTACCAACGAAAATCATCGTTAATTTCTGATCTAACAGTGTTATTGAGGCAGGAATTCTTCTTAGTTTTTTTTTGGCGTTAAGAACGGATTAATGTAATGAAATTAAAAATTTTAGAAGATCAATACATTGACCTTCTAAAATTTTTTAATTAGTCCGCCCAACACTGCAAAAGATTAACATTCGAAAGGACTTACCCCATGACTATTGGTAAACGAGTTTTGACTGGAACGTTGTAGGATTGGTACGTACCATAACATATCATCACTATGAGCAGAACATTTTTCCCATGTACAATGCACATTACCTATTATGAAGTCTGAGAAAAGTTTAGACCAACGCCGTTCCTGATTAGTAACAAATGCAAGATCGCCTTCTGAAAAAGGAAAGTGTGTCACTGATCAAAAATTGCGGAATAGCACAGTATTTGAGGAAGGTTGACATCGAAAATAAAACCAAGATGCGGCAAGAAAATTGCTTTTAAGTGAAAGTTGCACGGTAAAGCGAAAGAATTCGAATTTAAATAAATCAAATAGAACGAAATCGACCACACGTTACCGAAGGTAAGTTGTGTTCTTCGCAAATTATAGATCCGTTTCAGCAATTCGCTAACACATGAGCAATGTGTCATTGATGTGGTTGCAATCGGTATGTTGCTTGTTTCATCTTCGTCTGCTTGACCATTCGTCTTCTTAATCAACTCTGCACTAGACGACTCCATTTCCCATGACCACCTTTCCGGATTAACCCCCTCACCGTTTCTCGCACATCCCTCACCTTCAGTAGCTCCTAACCTCCACTTCGCCGCCAGTTTAAACACTAATTAAAGCACATATTTTAAAACGTGATTTAATATTTTAAACTTATTATGCGTTACATATGGTCTACGACAAATCCGTACCACCTCATTTTGAAACGCATAGTCGGTCAGGAAAATTCGTTTCTGTTCGACTCTTGACAATGCGTTCGCATATTCACCACTGTGTGCTTGTATTATAAAACGCGTATTACTCGATATCTGTCATATTCATCATGAGTAGGATCGCTCCTGCAAACAACCGGCCGAACCGTAGGACCTCGGGGCAAACCTGAGGCTGTCCCCTGATGAACCACAACAGAATGCGGTACACTAATAATGTTTCCATTAATTAAGTTATGTAAAAAGCTGTCACTAATACTGCAATGCGAGTTATAACTATTACCTCAGTTGATTTTCTGCGGTTTCAGTGAATACATCAGATAGGAAAAATTCATTTATTTTTCATTCTTTTTTTGATAAATTCATTTTTAAAAAATTCATTTATAGAAACCTATCCGTATAGAAACAAAAAATTCATAATTAATATTAAAACACAAAACAAATATTTGAAACAATGATGCGAAACAATAAACACTTCTGAATAAAATCAAATGGATTAAAACTTTGTTTAAACCCTTCCGTATAAAATCAAAAAAATCCATAATTAATATTGAAATAGAAAAATATATGAAACACAACGATGCAAAGCAACACACATTTTTGAGTAAAATCAATCGAATAATAAAATCGTAATGCATGAGATCATACAATAATAAAATAATAATATCAAAAATCAATCATGTAATAATCAATCGGATTCATATCCCTGTCAAAATCTCGTTAACTGTTCGACAAGGCGAGTTAAGAAATCGGAAGAAGAAATTAACTCACCCACCTAGTTTTATTCATTCCCGTTTTATTGATTCACTAATGTATATAATTTGATTTATTTCCTTTTTTTTTCAATTTTTCTCCCCTCCCCAGCACCAATTGGGTCAGTATACTCGCCATATTGTAATCATCTGCACCGAATATAGCTGTGCATATGATTATGCGAACAGATATCAATCATATTCTTCTCTGGTGAAAACAAAAGTGAAGAAAACATCATTGCACTGCCACCCAACTTATTCGAAGCCAAATGATTCCAGACGGAATGCTAGTGGTGCACTTAAAGCAAATATTCGAAATATGATCAGCTGGAGGAAGGATCTCGAACAAGATTTAGGAATGCTCGCTACGTAAAGGTGAAAAAAGCCCACATATATAAGATTTTTGCTTCTCGATATAGTCGGAATCCGAAACTCGAAAATCCGATCGAAATTCATTGGATTTCTCCGTTCGAACTTCGGTCGGTTACCATAAGTAATTCATAAGTTTGATGCCCTATACGACAGCAATATGAATAAGATGGAGGGAGTGAGACAAAGTGCAATAATTGAACACTTCAGCTTATGCTCACGCTCACGTCGAAAGTGGGCTAAATTGAAGATGCCTTTTACAGTGCACCAGTCCTTACCAAGTCATTGAAGAGCATATGACTTCGATACACCTTACCTGGGTGGAGAAAAATATTGATGATTGTTGCATTATTACTTTAAATACCTATTTCGACCGAATCTCGATCGGAGAAATTTATACATCTATCGGAATTATCATTAACTTCATTTTAAATAGAACAGAATCGACGGGAATTTTAATTTAGGTATTGCATTTCTCATGAGCATTTGCTTTGCTGAAAAGGAGAAACTTTGTTTAAATTCAGTGTAAAGTAACGAAATATTATGACTGTCGAAAACTGCTCTACAGTTGAACAAGTTTAAAAAGATGCACCCTGTACT